GCGCTGAGTAATTTGGGATGTGGGGTTGATCGTCTGGATTCTAGAAAGCCTCTTCCAGCTCGGGAGTTCCCAATCAGCACAGGCAGTGGGCAGAGAGTGACACATTGGCAGCTCCCACATGAGTCTGGGAGTCTGGGGGCCTTAGTCTCTTTAAACAAGAGTCCGTAGATCTTAGCAGTGCCTCTGCAGTCTTCTTCTAGAAGGTGCCATTTAAAGGGGCCCTGGTGGCGTGGTGGATTATATGCCGGGTTGCTAACTGCAAGGTCAGTAGTTTGAATCTACCAGGCACCCTGAGGGAGACCACTGAAGATTTCGGTTCCCATAAAGCTTTAGAGACTCAGAAACCCATGTGGGCAGATCTACTCTGCCTTTTAGGGCCACTATGAGTCAGAATTGACGAGATGGCATTGGGTTTGGAGTCTTGTGTCTTTTAAAAAAAATGAATCAGGGGTGTCAAACCACCTCTGGCTCAGTCCTGCCCTCCCAGGGACTCTCAAAGGGTTTCCCGTGGCACAGGTGGCCATGCCTTCCCCTCCACCAGGGCAGCGGCCCCTGAGGACAGAGTGTTCGAAGCCAGCTACGACTTTCCCAGGGCCCGGCACTCCCGCTCATCCCGCTCGACTTTCCCAGACAGCACCAAAGACTTCATGGACGGCCAACCAAGAGCGAGGGCGTCTCAGCCCGGGCCCATCCCAACCCTCCCACCAGGGGTGAACAGGGAGCCCCTCTTCACAGACGGTACTCCTCCCCCTGTCAGCGTCAAAGCTGATGACATTCAAGTGCCACGCCCCCCATCTCACGGCCCCCTGGGCTTCAGGAGACCACTGGAGATGAGGGCCAGTGGGGAGGGAGGGCTGGAGAGGAAGAGGAGAGGGGTTGGGTTTCTGTATAATCAACAACAGCAAAATCTACCAGTTGGGCAGGGGCAATATTCATTTGTTGAAAACAGCAAACACGACATTAAAATCCCGAGTCGCACTTGGTCTCTTTCAGCTCCTGGGAGACCTCTCATTCCTTGCAGAACTAAGAAGTCTTACAGGGTTTTCCGTTTATGCAGAAGGATGGAGAAGCCAGTCTCCCTTCTCTGGCTTCCTGAAGTAGGCACGTAGGGCCACCTTTGACAAGCTCCTGTCCACTCGGTGTCATAAACTGGGCACGGAACGGAGATGGCTCTTCTGATCTCCTGGGACTTGGAGGACCAAAGTACCATCACGGGCACAGGGAGAGCCTCTGCCAGGGAGCAGTCTTGACAAGAATCAATGCAAGAACCCAGGGCAGCAGCTGTCTTTCCCTACAGCCTTTTGGACCTTGGTGGCTTCTGTCACCTGTTTCTTTTGACTGCCAAGTAGCAGTTCCTCTATGGGTTTCAAGATCAAACTCCGGAAGTCCATTCAGCTCAATGTCCCTTTTAAATTTCCCTTGAGATGTCTTCCTGGGGCTGTAGAGCATTGTGTTTAGTTTCCTTGTATTCAGAGATTCCCGTATTAACTTTTATTTTGGATCCCACTGCAGTCAGAGAGAGAGCACACCGTATGATTTTCATTTTCATTTGGTTGAGGTTCCTCCTACGGCTCAGAGGTTAGCCTTCTTGGCAAGGGTCCCATGGAAGCTTGGAACCCATGTGTCTTTTGCTGCTTCGGGGCAAGTGTTTTCTATCAATGACGGTGAGATCTGTGGATTTGTCTCTTTCTCCTTCCAGTTTCGTCAGTCTCGGCTTCCTGAGTTTTTCGGCTCTGTTGTTTGCTACCTACACATGCAGGATTTCTGTAGTTGCTTGGTAAATTCAGCCTTAAGTATGTCCCTCTCTGTCCCTGCTCACTTTCTTGATTCTGAAGGCACTTTATCTGGGAGAGCTCTGGTGGTGTAGTAGCTCACAAGTTGGGCTACCAACTTCATGGTCAGCAGTTCCAAAGCTCGAGGTCAGTGGTTCTCAACCTTCCTAAGGCCACCGCCCTTTTATACAGTTCCTCATGTTATGGTGACCCCCAACCATAACATTATTTTCGTTGCTACTTCATATCTGTAATGTTACTACTGTTATGGATCATCATGTAAGTATCTGATATGCAGGATGTATTTTCATTGTTACAAATTAAACATAATTAAAGCATAGTGATTAATCACAAAATAATATGTAATTATATATTGTGAAATATTTATGTGCTTTCCAACGGTCTAAGGCAACCCTTGTGAAAGGGTAGTTCCACCCCCAAAGGGGTCACGACCCTCAGGTTGAGAACCATTGCTCTCCTTGCTCAGTAGGAGAAAGACTAGTCTTTCTACTGTAAAGAATTACAGTAGTAGAAACCTACAGGGGCAGTTCTACTCTGTCCTGTAAGGTTCCCTGTGAGTCAAAATTGATTGGATGGTAGTGAATTTTTAAAAAAATTCTTTTGATGCTTTTTTATGATCACAATGCCCCAAATCCTGCTGTGTTTTTGTAGTAAGAGTTTGTGTTTGTGTAGTAGGAGTCATCATTCATTTCAATCAATCTGTATCATTTTATTCAAACTCTTTTTCTTTAGTAACTGGCATTTTATTACCTGTTTTGTGATCAGTACAGAGACATTATGAACAATCTGTCTACGATGCTTAATGCAGGACCCAAATCTTAACATGGCATGTAGATATGATTCTTTTATAAATTTCAATGACTTTCCAGCTTTAAATTTGGAGGCAAATTTTCTTTAAGAGGATATCAAGAACCATTATCCTCAGATGTTGATACACTGTTACACCTTATGTCCTACTGATTCACAATTTAATGGCACATACGCTAGGCACTCCAATGTTCAACCCTGCACAGCACATGGCAAAGTTATCAGGCAACGTGGACTATCACGACCAAAAGTGTTACAGAATGCACACAGTTCTAACAAGAGCCATGATGAGGGAACGGTTCCCAGATACAATTGTATTAAACGCAACATGGAAACCGAATTTAAATGTTCAAGCCATGCAAATGCATGATGGTGACTCCAAATTGCCATTAGTATGTTTTGTATTTAAAAACAACAAACAAACAACAAACCCTCGCTCTCATGGAGTCTTTGCTGACTCACAGTCGGCCCCCTGTAGGCTTCTCAGACGGTCACTGTTCACAGGAGGAGAAAGCCCAGTCTTCGGACTGCAGAGCTGCTGTTGTTTCCAAACTGCAGACCAGGCAGATCGAAGTCCATGTACCACTCCACCACCAGGGCTGAAAAGAACTCTGCAGACCCCCACCCCAGCCACATCCCAAGGCAGTCAAATCTTCCCACAATTCAACCTCCCACTATTATCTAATTGTATTCCAAAATAAACCACCAGTAAATGATTTCAGGTCTTAAAGCATTTATTGACACTTTAAAAATGAGATGAAGTGGAATTTCCTCCTTCTTCAGTGTTCCTAAAGCTACTATAAAAACTTACATTTCCAAAATAGTTGATAAAAACTTTCCTCTGGATTGCACAAGAAGGGACAGAACAGGGCCCACTGATAAAACATGGTAGATACACATTCATCAGACGCTTCCTCTGGCTTCATCAAAGGCTAGACTCCTCGTTTTCGGCAGGTGAACGTCTTCCGTTTCCGGGTTGGCTACTTCAGCCTCGTTCCTTGGTGGCGCGTTTGTGTCTGAGGCTCGAGCCCTTCCTGATGCCCGTTTTGGGCTTCGACTCCACTTTTGCAGGCACAGGTGTCGCTGACACCCTGGCCAGATCTCCTCGGACTCCTTTTTCACCGCCCAGCTGATGGTCCTGTGGGACATCTGGCTGGGGGTGGGGGTGGGGGGGGTATAGTGTGCCCTCTGCTGCTTCCCAGCCAGCCAACGCCCGATCCGCCTGCCACCTGAGCTCTATTTGAACTCTCTTAAAGACAGCATGCTCTTTTTTTAAAACATCATTTTGAAATGATAATTTTTAAAAGATAAATTTGGTGGTGGTGGTGGGGGCTCTTACAGCTCTTATAACAACCATTGTATCAAGCATATTTGTACCTGTGTTGCCATCATTATTTTCTAAACACTTTTTGTTTGAGCCCTTGGTATCAGCTCCCCCCAGCCCCCGCCCCGTGACCCCTTGATAAATTATAAGTTCTTTTCATATCTTACACCTACCGCTGTCTCCCTTCCCCTCTCCTCCCCCCACCTTCCCCCTGCCCTCCTCGTGAGTGCTCCCATTTCCCTGTCTTCCTGTCTCCCCGTGGTTTCTCAGTGTCTTTCTTTCCACGGAAACCTGGCCTGGGGGCAATGGCGGGTAAAGAGGTCTGCGACCCCAGGGGCGCCCCCCACGCCCCGGGCAGCCCGCCGGACCTTAGGGAGTGGAGGGCGGGGCCCCCGCGGCCCCCGCCCCGCCCTCCGCCGCGTTGTCTTGGAGACGGCAGACAAACTTCCCTTGGCCGTTGTGGCTGGACCCGCCCGCAGAGTGGTCCAGAGGTGTGGTCCCGGTCAGACCCTCTGGACGTCCACCGGCTGCCCGGGCTGCTCGCTGGCGTGGAGACTTGGGGCGCAGGGCGGAGGCTGTGGTCTCCCCCTGACCCAGCCGCTCCCCCTCTTCCCTCCCCTCTGTGCACCTGTGCGCGGAGCCCGGCTGCTGTCCGGTCTGGTGGCACTTTGCAGGCCGGGCTCAAGTCCCAACTGACCCCCGGGGCGCGTGGGCCTTCCGCGTGAGAGCCCGGGCGAGCGAAACGCCACGTGACCCCCCACCCCACGGGGCTCATTCACCCAGCTGCGCGCAGCAGGGAGCCGGCCTCCGCAGGTTCGGTTCCAGCCTAAGGCTGGTTCTGGGTCCCCCTCACTCCCTCCAGGCTTGGCTTCTGTTTGTTTTCATTCCACCTGTGCAGCGGCAGGGGGTGGGAGGAAGGAGCCCGGGAGCTTTCAGGATGCCCTGCGCGGGGGTGGGGGTGGGGGTGGGGCAGGAGGAGTGATGGGAGCCAGTTTCCCTACATCCAGGGTCGGAATTGAAACTACACCCCAGACGAGTTCCCAGCGGCTTCCTGGCGCCTCGAGCAACAGGCCAAGATGTCCTCTGTGGGACGAGTGACGCGGGTCCCCAATGGGAAAGTTTACCAGCAGATCTTCGAGGCGGAGGTAAGCTCGCTCCCCGGCTTTCCCCACCTACCCTCGGCCCCGCCTTCCGTCAACGCCCCCTTACCTCTCAGCATGCCCCCCCCCTCCCCGCCCCCATACACCGCTGCTCTGCTTCTGGGACCACCCAGACTGGGAAGCCAACCAAATGAGGGCTTTGAAATGGCTACGCTTTTAAAACGAACCCCTATACTAGTTCTTAAAATGTATGGCTACCAAATGAAAGTCTGAACTTGAACGTGAGATCCTCTACTTAAAATTTGAACTAGTTAGAAAGATCCAAGATCATTTGCCTTTTAAAATGGTGCATTTGAGCCGTACTCAACCAGTTGCCCTGGAGTCATTACATCCATGCTGCAGTAGAAGTGGGCATTTTTCGGGGGTGAATCACCATTACCTGAGGCACCTCTGGGTGCACTCGACCCTCTCACATTTCACCGATTGCACCCCCAACCTCCTCTAACTCCTAGGAGGACTTTGAAACCCACCCTTGCTCCTACACAGTATCTCACAGGGCCGGCCCCAGTGGGCCTTCATCAGTGACGGGTGGCTGCAGCAAGGGCCCACCAAGGACAGTGCACAGTGTGCTACATGCTACACAGTGCCCTGTGCTGGGTCACTGCCCATCACCTTTGCTGAATGGCCGTGGGATCTGCAGGGCCCTGTGCAGACCAGCAAGCATCTTGCTCTAGAGAAGCAGCATCTCTGAGCCCCACCTCTGAAGCGTGGCGCTTCTTCTCCAAAAGGAGAGTTTTCCATCCCTAATTTGAGGCCTACAGACGCTCTTTGACGAAGGTTTGGAGACCTTAGTGAAGCATAAGGAAGCGGTCACACGCATCATGCTCTCAGTCTGCCGTGCACTTAAATAATTGAGGCCGCACTTGATACTTAACGTTTATAATTTTTAATCTGTGCTTTGAATTTCTACTTTTGCCTCATAAACGTCCCCCATGCCATTTTAAAATTCTTTGTGGGTCTTATTTTCACTGAAGGAGCTGACCTTCCGTTGAATGGGCATACCACATTTGCCGAGCCCATCCCTTGTTACTGGATAGTTCTGTTTCTGCCCACTCCCTAATGACTCTACAAATGAGACTGTGGAGGTCTCAGGAGCCCTGGTGTCTTGGTGTTTACACATTGGGCTGCGATCCACAAGGCCAGCCGTTCAAAACCAGCAGCCACTGTGCAGGAGAGGGATGGGGCTTTTTATTCCTAGGGAGAGTTACAGTCTTGGAAACTCCCAGGGCAGGTTTACAGGGTCGCTATGAGGTGGCATTGACCCTTGGTGAGTTGGTGGAGGTTTAGCTTATGGGGCTTTTAGTTAATGGGGTCAGGATGCTGGGGACAAGGGAAGGCGGGAATTGCTGCAAACCTGAATGTTCTCACTGGACCGCATGTGTAGAAATTGTTGAAAGGGTGCCTTTTTGTGCATGTATATTTTCATTGAGAAGCCGTGGTGGTGGAGTGGTAGAGAAGTCAGCAGTTCGAAACTACCAGCAGCTCCAAGGGAGAAAGACTAGGCTTTCCACTCTCTAAACAGTCGAGGTCTTGGAAACCCACCGGGAGCTGCCCTGAGCCTGCACTGACTCCGTGGCAGTGAGCTCAGCTGGGCTTATATTTTCATGAGAGCACAAGTCAGCGAGGGAGGGATGACCTTCTTGGCCCTCATGGAATCTCTTAAAAGCTGTCTCACCACAAGTGGCCCAATGAGTGGCATGGGGGTAGGGGGCCCTTCCCCTGGGCACCAGTTTGCAGTGGGGGGAAGGCCGGGGCTGGAAGTGCCTTCCTGGGGACAGCTCCCAAGGTCCCTCGGTGTCCCGCACAGCCAGCCTACCGGTGTAGAGGCATCTACAGCACTGGCCCCCGGTCTCCCACGGCTTCAGGTACAGCTGGTCCGGTCACTGGCGGCCAGTAGGAAGCAGGCTGTGGAACATTCTGTGGCCCCAAAGAGCGGCCAGAAGCCCTGGATGAAGAAGGTGGATGTGCTTGAAGGAGAGATGCTGTCTCCCCGGCAGCGCAAGTGGATGAACAGTCTGCCCAATGATGGGGCGACAGAGAACCCCGTGCTCTACAGGTAAGGCCTGTCCTCCAGCCCACCCCCCCACCCCCCAAGTGCCCCTCGGGGTCTTCAGAAGTCCCACAGAGCTCCCGCAAGATTACGACGTCCCAGCCAGATTGAAGGCTCAGGCTGGGACTTCTCTCTGCTGAGAGAGAGAGTTGATGGTGTCTGTCTCCCAGGCTTCCTGGCTTCTGCCTCCCTCTCTCCTCCTCTTCCCCACCCAGTGGTTACTGCCTGAGGCCTAGCAACAGGCACTGGGTGTGGGGAGCCCACCTCATGGACTTGGAGATGCTGTCCGCTGAAGGAGGGAGTGAGGATACTTAGCACAGGCCTGGCTTTGCAGGGGCGGCCACTCACCCCTGGTCCCATTCCCGTGTGACACTTGGTTTTCAGCCAGAGCCCAAGCATGCTCCCTGAGGGTGGGGCCCTGTCTTCTCCATTAAGCACCCACAGTATCTGGTGTTGGGAGACACGAGCAGGGCTGGCTGGTTGGGGGGGTGCTCGGCATTCTCCAGAATCGGCGGGGACAGACCGGAGATTCTGCCGTGCCAGGCAGTGGCCCTGGGGCCCGGGCATTGACTGTCGTCCTCTCCTGTGCCACAGGGAAAAGAATATAGCCCAGATGGAAAAGCTCCGAGAGAGCGAGAGCACCATTGCTGCCCGGGAAGTGCGGGGCCTGGGGGACACTCTGGGTGAGCGGCTGGTCCTGCCTTGGGGAGGCAAGAAGAGCCCTACAGGGGCGGGGCATCCGGGATCCTCCTGAGGGGTTCTTGCCTTGGGATCTCAGGTGTCAAGGAAGCGGGGTTGTCCCCTTGCATTCTGCGGCACAGAAGCCCCGGCCTTGCCTGTGTTAGCAACCCCATCCCAAGTAAACGATCAGGTGTAGTCTAAGCCCCCAGCCCCCACGACTAAGAAAGACACTCATTACTAGGCAAAGAAGCCCCAGTGGCACAACGGTTAAGGACTTGGCTGCTGACCGGAAGGTTGACGGTTCAAACCCATGGGAAAGATGCGGTGTCTGTTTCCATAAAGGTGACGGTCTCAGGAACCCGATGGGAAGTTCGACTCTGTCCTACTGACCCTCCTCCCTGTGAGTCGGAATTCACCCAAGGCACACAACAACCTGCTTGGAAAATTCCGAGTGGTTAGAGCCGTGTTCTCCACCTTCCTGATGCCAAGGCCCCTTAATACAGTTCCTCATGTGGTGGGGACTCCCTAACCATCAAATTCATCACTGTAATTGTGCTGCTGTTATGAATCGGGCGACCCCTTGTGAAAGGGTCTTTGGACCCCCAAAGAGGTTGCAACCCACAGGTTGAGAACTGCTGGGTTAGAGGTTACCTTCTAGGAACCAGGGGCAAAGGCCAAATGCTCTGGGAAAAAGAATTCTTCACCCACCACCTCTGGTGTGTTCCTTTAAGTTTCCTCACCTGTGAAATGGAGGTCACAGCAAAACCTAGGCCTCCCTGTGGGTGCTTGAGTAGCAAGACCTGGAATCAGTCCTGCTAGCCTCAGGAGCAGCCAGTAGGCTGTTGCACGCATCTTCATTGACAACACTTGAGTAAAGGACGTAACAGGCGCCGTTGTCCACGCGCGGGGACGTTTTCTCCTGCGTTTCACGGCCTGTCTGGACTGAAGAACCACCACCATCCGTTGGCTCTCCCTTTGAGCCTCCCTTGCCGCCTTGCTGATGCGGGGCCTTGGGGGCTGTCTTCTGACGGGGGCCCTGTGCCTGCCCTGGCTTCTCCTGGGAACTCCGGAAATCCCACTTTGGCCCTGAGGGCAGCTGCATCCCCTGCCTTGTTTCTCCCAAGTTCCCGAGAAGATCGGCCCCATCAGCCTGCCAGGGAGAGGAGACCACAAGAGGGACAACTACGAGAGGGCGCTGGCGAACTTTCACGAGGAGATCCAGCAGATTGGAGCGGTGAGGGCCTTCCCTCCCTCTGCCTGCTTCCAGACCACCACCCCCATCCCAAAGGCGGGGCTTTCTTGCACTCATTCACCCTTCCAGGCCAGCTAGCTAGGAGGTCTTCCCTGCCACACCGCAGGGTGATTGGCATTCTAGTAGACAGGTGTGGGTGCTGAATGTCTATTCACACTCAGTCATTCACAGCGACCCTATAGGACAGGCTAGGACTGTGAGTGTCTGAGACTGTTTCTGAGACTCACTGTCCCTTGAAGTGGCTGGTGGTTTCAAACTGCTGACCTTGTGGATCGCAGCCCAATATGCATAACCACTATGCCACCAGGGCTCCTGGGATCCCCACAATTCTTGGAACCACTCCTAAAAACTCGGCAGGACTTACTGCATCCATTTTGCAACTGAGGTCACAGCGTCTCTCCTGAGGTGACCCAACAGACAGCTTCCCTGCACAGTCCTGATGAGTGGCCCAAGGGCTGACATTGGTGGCCTTGTTGCTCCCTGACCCTCAGCACCTCCCACCCTTGCTCTTCCTGGTTTCTCTCCAGAGACCTCATCCCTAACCACACCAGTATCCAGAATATTCCATAAAGAAAACCAGCCTTCCAGCAGCTGGGTCTCTTCCCTTCCTGGTGCTCTCTGAATCCCCGAAATTACTCACCCTCTTTCCTACCCACAGACTCTCTAGCTGTGTCACCTAGTCCCAGATTCCTGATGCTGACCCTGTACCCCAAAACCTACCCTCCCCCAGCCAGCTCACCACTCTCTTGGGATGTCCCAACTGCTCTGCCATCACCCACAAACTCTGTGGCCTTTGCCACGCAACTTAACTGAGCCTCATCATTAGTACGCTTGGAATTCTCTCAGGTAGCCAGTCCCTTCATCAATATTTGCTGAGCATTGGTCCCAGCCTGATGTCGGCACCCACATCTTGGCGTGGTGATCAATCAAAGCAGAGTGCCCAGCACGTGGTGGCTGCCACTTGCCCGGTGGTTGTGAGTGAAGTCTCAGGAGCACATCACTCCTCAGGACCAGGCAGGGCTGGTTCTGCTTGAAGCTATGCCCATGGCTGCCGTTTCCCTACTGTATTAGTCTGGGTTGACTAGAGAAACAAATTCATAGACACTCGTGTGTATAAGAAAGAGCTTTCTATATGAGAGCCATTGAATATGGAGAAAATATCCCAGCCCAGTCCAGATCAAGTCCATAAGTCCAATATTGGCCCATATGTCCAATACTAGCCCATAAATTCTTCTGTAGACTCACGCAGCCATGCAATAATGCCGAATGCAGGAAGATCACAAGCCAGTGGGTGGAAAGTCTTGTGGATCCAGTGGGAGTGGAAGCATCTCAGTGCTGGCAGGGGTCTCCATGTGGCTCCTCCAGCTCCAGGGCTCTAGTGTAGCTCCATGTGTCTTCTCAACAGGAATGTCTTAAACAGGGAGTGAGTGAGTGAGTGAGTGAGTGTGTGTGTGTGTGTGTGTCCCGTCTCTGGGCTGTTTATTTCTGTTGTGCCTCCAAATGAGGTCATGAAGTTGCGACCTGATTGACAGGCTAAACTTCACCCCTTCACTCTGAAGTCTCAAAAGACTGTAGATGATGTAACTACCACACCCACCATCCTCCACCCGGTTTCAGGAAATGGAACCCCTGGTTGTGGATTCAGGAACCCTTCTTTTGCAAAAGCTGGCTGGGTGTGACGAAAACGCTGACCATCTCTTCCGAGAGGTGGAAACGAACTCCCAGCTCCAGGACTACACCATTCAAGTAGGACTCCTCTTGCCTGGGCCTCCCCATAATCCCTGCCTGGCCCTGGTCCTTCCTTTCCACTCCCCCCTCCCCTGCACTCTCCATTCAGAGCCTGTGGGAGCTGTGGGGCAAGGTGGCCGAGATGTCCCTGCTCCGTCAGCAGTGGGTCAAGGAGCTGGAGGAGAGCCTGCACTCGCTGGAGTTCTCCCGAACGGAGAGAGTGAGTGGCGTGCAGATGGGCTCCTGGGTGGCTCGGGCTTGTGGGGGGTGTCGGGCAGCCATCTGTTCCCTCTGAGGTCTTCAGAGAAAGAGAGAGAGGCCATGGCCCTGATGCCTTGCCCTTTGTGTCTAGCTTAAAGAGGTGTTGAAGAAGTATGTGGAGATCATTGAGAAAACGTCTTATCTTATGCAGCCTGATGTGTACAGACTGATAAACAAAGAAGCCATGGTGAGTGCGTGCATCTCCAAGGGGCAGACCCACAGGATGCGAAGGGGAGCAGGACCCCAGGGTTCCCCACAGAACCCTGGGTGACTCCCACTTGGCCTCTTAAGATGGAATGCCTTGGTTGTCTGAAGAGTTTTCAATGCAACTCGTTCTAAAATGCATTTCTTACCAACCTGCCATCTTCAACCAGATGGACTTAGCAGGGTGTCATGGTTATGAACACCGATGCTTTTTCCCAGTGTCCACTTTGTGTATGGGGGTGGGAGACATTCCCGAGGGCCACGCCGGATACAGGGAGACCAAGTTCCGGGCGTAGTGAACTAGGCATGCTGGCGGATGATGGGAGACTGTGTGAGGGGCTGGGTCGCAGCTACTGGGTGCACTGGGCGGTGCCACGCAATGGAGTCAATGGGCTCAGGGGCTGCTATAATGGCAGCTCAGTGACCATAGCCTGCTGTATTGGTCCAAGCTTGCCAATTGGCCTTGGTCCTAAGCAATGCCCTGTCTCTCGAGGGCTTTGGGAAATGTCTGGAGACATCTTTGCTTGTCCCAGTGGCTGGTGTGGGGTAGGTGGGAGGACTACTCTCATTAATGGGGCAGGGGAGCAGCACCACACACTGGAGAAGTGCCCCCTCACCCCCACACACACACCAAGAGTGCCCAGATGAGAACCACCAGAGGGTGGCCTTCTTTGATGACGGAGGGATAAAACAGCCACCTTTTTTTTTGGGGGGGGGGCCTGATGTGAGCACGCTGCTTTGGACACAAAAGAAGAGGCATGAAATGCTGCCTCTCCTTGGAGTGCTCCCTGCCTTTGACAGCCTTGCATCTAGGATGCCCTGCTCAGCACCACGCTGCTTCCTCGGAGCACCCACTAAGCTCAGACCCAGGCCCTGGCCCCTCTCTCTCAGTGGGCCTGTGGCTGACCCCTGTGAGAGCCCTGCCTTCCTGCCTGTGACTGCAGATTATCAACCAGGCGTTGCTGGGCAACCGGAGGGCCATCGCCCAACTCTCCCTCAACCTGATGGAGGCCGCGCTGAAGCAGGAGGCCAGCAGCCACCGCCGCTGGCATGACCTGCTGGATACCTGGAAAGCACACAAGAAGGACATGCTGGTGCAGAGCTTCAGGTTCTTGGGGAATAAGGGCGGGGATGGGGGGAGGAGTTATCCCCCCCGCCGCCACAAACCTGTGGGGGGGGGCAGCGGGCACTAGGGAGGCGTCATTCTTGGTCCCTTTTTTCCAATCATGACTTCGCTTTTCTGGCAATAAAGGCTATCTTTAAAAGACAGCCACCTAGAGGTAGACGGAAGGAGCCCTGGTGGCATAGTGGTTACTTGTTGGGCTTTGATCTGCAAAGTTGGCTGTTCGAAACCCCCAGTGGCTTCCCAGGCTTTCTACCCCTGTTAAAAGAGCTACGGTCCCAGAAACTCATAGGGCCAGTTCTACCCTGTCCTAGAGGGTCGTTATGAGTCGGTTCAGTGCTTCCAGCCCGCAGCTACTGTGCTGGACTAAGATGAGGCAGTGTCCCCTACGGATGGCAGCCTTGGAAACCCCAGAGAACACGTCTACTCCGCCCCCCAGGGTCCCCAGAAGTGGAAGGCCGTTCGGCTGCAGTGCCTCCCATGAAGGAGTACGGGGCTTGTATACAGGGGCCATCTTCAGCCCGTCTGCACATCAGACCCCCTCTTGGGACTGTGCCTGCAGGCCTCTGTTCTTAGCCCCTGAACTTCACTCAGCTCCATCGCCCTTCACCCACGCGTGCTTGCCCTTCACCCCTTCTCTCCCTTCCTGCCTCTCCTCCTCCCTCCTCTTCTTTCTTCCCTCTCACCTTTCCTCCTCCCTGTCTCTCCCTCTGTACCCCCCCTCTCCTCCCCTCTCCCCTCTCTCCTCCTCTCCGGTCTCCCAGAGGCCCAGGAGGCTGTGGAAGAAGCCTGTGTAAGAGGAGGGGTGTGTCCAGCACTGAATGTGCCTCCCTCCCCTCTTACCTCTCCATGGTGCAAATGTGCCTGGTGCCAGTGAGTTCATGGCCAGTAAGAGGATCCAGTCTCCTCCGGCCGTGAAGAAGGAAATGGAGGCCATGCTGAAAACCCAGAAGAGCCTGCAGTGGGTACGGCTGCAGCACCTCTACACATGCAGGTACCATGGGGGCCGGGGGCCACAGGTGGGGGGGTGCAGTGGGGAGGTGACTCCACCACCACTGACACCAGGCCACCTCCCGATTCTCTGGTCATGAATGGGCCTCCAGGGACATGGTCTTGGGCCTTCCAGCAAGAGAGGGTGCGGCACGCTGCTGCCGAAAGCCGTACAGTGTGCTGGTGGTCATGGGTGGGGTGGGGGGGCGTAGGCTGGAGGATGCACTGCCCACAGGCCGTGTGAGGCCACTGAGCTGCTGCCCCGAGGCCAGGGGGAGACGGGTGGCACCATCAGCGTGTGCTGCTTGGAGGGGGACCCGCTGGAGCCCGAGTCTCCAGCAGAAGGGAGACAGTGCAGCTCTGGGCCGGTCCTGAAGCTCTTCCTCAGCCCCATAGGGAGTGGGTCCACCTCGCCAGCAGGGAGGTGCCTTCCACATACTTCTTGCTAAGATGCCCCTTGAGTGTTCCGGCCCAACGAGTGCACGTGCAGACCATTTTAAAACACCTTCCGGCCTCTGGACGGCCAGGGAGAGCTCAGGCTCACTGACAAGGTGGCACAAGAGTTCCTGCAGCAGGGGAGGAGGACAAGCAGGGGAGGACACCGGCCCTCTTGTAGCCGCTGCTGGTGTCACATTTGCTCGTGTTGTATTAGCCAAAGCAGGTCATGTGGTCAAATCCGGGTTCCAGCCATGGAGAACTAGACTCTTATCTCGTGACATGGGTCTGCCATACTCTGCTCAATCTGCTACATATTTTGTTGACTTTGGATTGTGATCAGTCGTGGTTTATTTAGACACTTTGCCGTTGTTAAGTGTGCAGGTTGTCATTTCTTATGTTTATGGGGAATGTGGTCCCGGAACACCTGACTGCATAGATTTTGTCAGGATTTTATCTGGTCTCAGATTGGGTTCCTAGATGTAGAAATCCATGGTCAGGTGATATAAATAGCTTGGTTTTCCCCATTCAAAGAAAAAAATCAAGTTTTGCTAAGTAGTGGACTCCCTAGGATTTGAAAAACAAAACAGAAAAAAACACCTTCCCATAAGAAGCAAGCACCAGAAAGATCCCTATCTTACATATATAATACTGTGGAGCTATGTGCCTGGACAGCAGCCCTGGTGGCATAGTGGGTTACGCATTGGGCAGCAACCCGAAAGGTCGGTGGTTCGAGCCTACCAGTCTTTCTGAGGTAGCAGAGGCTGTCTGTTCCCATGCAGATTTAAAATCTCCGCCCTGCAGGGCCCCTGTGAGGGAGGATCACTCGGTGGCAGTAGATCCATAGCCTCCTTGAAGGTGCCCCTGGGGTTGTGAGGGAGGATCACTCGGTGGCAGTAGATCCATAGCCTCCTTGAAGGTGCCCCTGGGGTTGTACGCACGTGTTTCTTCAAGTGTTGCTGACTCGCCCTGTCTTCCCCCCGCAGGGAGCTTCTGCCGCCCCCGTTTACTCCCTGTCTTCCCCCCGCAGGGAGCTTCTGCCCCCCGTTTACTCCCAAGCCCGGCTGAACGAATGGTACTCTTCCCTCGTTGCCATGAATAAGCAGCTGGGTGAGTCAAGTCGGCAAGCCTCCACCACCCCCACAGCCCCATCTCTCGGGGGTGCTGCTCAACGCTCGCTTTGTGGGGTCTTCAGCCAGTCCACTGAGCACTGCCAGGAAGTCCAGTCCAACTCACAGGGACCCTGCGGGACACAGTCGAACAGCCTTGTGGGATTCTGAGACTGTAAACCTTTACAGGGATAGAAAGCCTCATCTTTCTCCCTCCGAGTGTCTGTTAGTTTTGAACGGCCGCATCTTTGGTTAGCAACCCAACACATAACCCACTACGCCACACAGTCAGTGACTGTGTGTTTGAGCTTCTGTCATGAGCTCAGGAAGTAGGGGCAAGAGAGTGAGCTGAGTGAGGCTCACAGAGCTAAAACCTTGTGTGTGTGGGGGGGGGGTTGGGGCGGGGGGCAGCAGACACAGGCTGGCAGACCTGAGGGCCAGGGGTATCCTACTACCCTGAGGGCAGTAGGAGTCCAGGGGAGGGCTCTGGGCTTGACCTGATGAGATCCGAGTCTGTGAGTGGATCACACGGTATAGCAGTGGAGGCAGGAAGACCCAGCAGGGGCCCATCACAGCGCCCCTTGGGAAGGTGACCCTCAGGAGGCGAGCAAGCGGCTGGGAAAGGTGGTCATCAGGTTTAGTCTGCATCTCCCCCTATCCCCAGTGCCCTTAACTTTACACCCAGCGCTGTCCACCAGCCCCTCTGCAGGAGCTGCCAGGAGCACTGCGCTTCAGGTGGCTGGCAGGCTTCTGGCTCTGCTTATCATGCACTCCAATTACACAGCCGTTGAGTTACAAACCACAGAGCCCTAGCAGCAGGCAGGTGGTTACACCCGGGGCTGCCAGCCACTCCTCAGGAGAAAGAGGAGGCTTCCTGCTCCCGTGATGATTGACAGTCTCAGAAAGCCACGGTGGCCCTTCTGCTCTGTCCTACCTGTAGGGTTCACCTGGTTCAGAATGGACTCGGACACAGTGAGCTTGAGCTTGAGGAAGCATTGGGGGTGGGGAGGGGTGGAGAGAAAAGACGTTTCCAAGTCTTCTGCCAGTCCATCATAGCCCAAGGCACTGCACCCAGGGCCTGTTGTATGTCTTGGCACAGTTTCCCCAAGAGAACTTCCCTAGCCTCGAGAACAGAGTCAGGAGTCGGGGCCAGAGTGAATTCAGTCAGGAGGCCACCTGGGACCCTTGTCTTTAGGGGTCCCCCCTCCCCCCCCCCCCCCCCCCCCCCCCCACCAGATCTAGGCTTGACCTCTGGTCCTGGCAGCCATCCCTCTAGCTGGGGGAAGCTAAGTGGAAGGCAGGCGGCTGAGACCTTTATTTGTTTCCATCCCTGGAGACACCTACCACCAGGACTGCGTGCTACGCATCCGCCTGCAGTATGAGAACACCTGGCAGGAGTGCCTGGCCCAGGTGCAGAAGTGCAAGGTGGGCCCCCCCACCCCACCCCGTACTACCATGGTCCTGAGATGAACTGAGGAGATGGGTGTGGGTGTTCCCTCCCTGGCTCTGCCCCATCCCCTCACCACCCCACCTTCCTGCTTTCCTTTCCCTCCACTGCCAGCTCTCCTGGCCTCTGGGCCTCCTGGGGCTCTGTTCCCTCTGCCCGGAATTTGGTTCCCTCCCCCGCTTTTTCCACCCTCCCCTCCTGTGCTTGGTCCTGGAAGCCTCCAGTGACCCCTTCACCCCAGACCTCACCCTCCTCCTCCCTTGGCTAACCTGCCTTGATCTATTTAATCACAGGCTACTACTCCCAATTGTTTGTTTTCATAAGGAATTCACACTGTCACCCCCAGTCTCTCCCTCTGCTCTGCCAGCCATGGTCACAGGGTGAGATAGCTCAGCCACCAGCCCCTTCAGTGACTGGTTTTCTGGGTTTTAGAAGGAGATGATGTTTGTCAAAATGTCCCTTCCTGCCCCCACCCCCCAGCTGCTCTGATAAAGCTTGTAGGTGGGACCCTCAGGAAGGTGTGCTGGGTTGAGAATGGAGGGGGCCGGCGGGAGGGGGAGACAGGCAGGGACCCCTGCACTCATAGGATCCTATGAGGCTCGGGGGTAGGGGTGGGTGGGGGCTGTGAAAGGGCAGCCGGGCAGCACCTTAGTCACCACAGGAGTAACACCTGGAGGAGCTGACTCTTGGCTCTGCTTTGTGGGGCGCAGACAGAGACAGAACGCCCGGGGCTGCCACAGTCCCCTCAAAGCACCCTGGGCCTGGCGAGGGTGCCTGTTTGCCCAAGGTGGAAGCTGGCAGCTGTGGGCAAAGTGCGGATTTCGGGGAGGCAGGCTGCCTTCTTGTGAGTGTGGTGCATCCTGTGACAGACGGGGAGGCTGCTTTCTGACTGGCATCGTTCAAGGGCGCAGCGAATGTCAGCCGTGCCCGCCTCGCTCGCAGCAGCAGCACGCAGGCTGTGAGGGGAGCTGAGGCCTTGCGGGGAGGCGGCTCGTGCCCGAAGGGTGGGTAGCCTGAGTGTGGCCTCCAGCAAGTGACTGCCCTTCTCTGAACCTTAGTGTCCTTGCCTTGCCCTGGGCTGTTGAGAACTGAGTAGCAGAGACCTAGGGGCACCAGGTGGTGTGGCCTGCTGACAGCTCCTGGACATGGGGCGCAGTGCGAGAAGACCCACCGTGTCTACCGTGTGTGCCTTGGGCTTCCCCAGAGGGTCCTGGAGATGGGCGTGTGCCCTTTTTCAGAATCAGCTGCTGGACTGGAAAGCCTTCACTGAGGAGGAGGCAGCCGACCTGGTGAGCCCGTCCTTCTACCACATGGTGGGCGTGCTTCAGAGCAAGGTGGAGGAGGAGCTGGAGTTCATGGACGTGCGTACGGGGGCCATGCGACAGGAGGGGGGTGGGGGCCCCAGGAACCAGCTCCCCACAGAACTGTGTAGCCTGGAGCTGGGGCACCAGGGCCTTCCTTTAAAGGGCCAGGTGGTGGCTGCGGCTCTGCGTGACCTGGGCCTCCCTCGGACTTCTCTTGTCCGCCACTGTGGCACCGAGGTTGCCTCGGACGAGACGGCAGTGGCTGGGACTGCGTTCTAAGGACAGGGACTTATGGTCACTGGGCCCAGAACCTCGTATCATTTTCACATGACAAGAAAGGCTGACTGTTCCTTTGATTTAAAAAAGAAGTTCTTTGTTTTTTCATTTTTTTTTTTCATGTAAAGCCTGTGTGCTTTGCTCACAGGGCCTTCCCTAAACAAGTGGGGGTCCATAGTGGCATGCCCTCGGTTCAGGCAGGATGTGAGACACACATAGACAACCCCCCACCTCTACCCCCACCCGCACAACAGCCCGGCCTCGTGAGCCCAGAACTCGGAAGAAGGAAAGCTCTTGGGGCAGTTTTGATGCTGCCAGCCACTTGTATAGGCACGCCTGTGGTTTCTCCTTCTGCTCTGTGTCCCCAGTGCTGCCTTGTGTCTGCCGGGCTTCAGTGGGACATAGGACAGATCTTCAGGGTCAGGGGGCCGAGGGTGTCTCTGGGCAGACCACAGTGATTGTGCCCCGGGGTGATGGGTGAGATGGCACAGGTACAACCCAGAAGTGGAGCTTGCTAGACAGTTCCCAGGCAGGGGTGGCCGGTCCTCAGAGTCCCGGAGCCTCTGCTGACCAGCCTGGGGGCCCCTGTGGGAGGGGCTCTCCTCCTTGACCTCTCAGTGCTCTTCTCTGGTTCTGTCCTTGCAGGCATCCTTCGAGAGCCTGGGGAAGCAGACGGAGAGGCAGAGTCTGGACCTCTTCCACTACTTCCAGGAGGCTGTGCAGCTGTGGGAGGTCCACCAGAGCGAGGTGTCGGGGCAGGAGCTGGAGCTGGAGAAACGAGTGGAGCAGCACCGGCAGAAGCAGAACCAGGAGAACCAGGTGCGGGGGAGGTAGAAACACGATCTGCGTCCATCCACCCGGCCACCCACCCACCCATCCATCCATCCATCCACCCACCCACCCATCCACCTATTCATCCATCCACTCATTCACCCAACTACCCACTCATCCATCCACCCACCCACCCATCCATCCATCCACCCATCCACCCATGCATCCAGTGTGTATTGCCCAGTACCTGCAACAGACCACATGCCAGGCACAGTGCCAAGGTCTGGGGTCATCAAGAAGAACTTCACCCATTGGTTCTTGCTCTACCAACTCCTGGCCAGCAGGGCGGTAGATACTGGACATACTTCCAGGAAAGGAGTCCCAGGCACTAGAGGGACAGTTGGAGGGCACCAGGGGGTGGAGAGGGCTGGGGTGAGGAAGGAGAGAGGCAAGGGCTTGCCTAACCTCTGGCCCAGGCCCCAGGTCTGAGGGTGAGGAGGCCTGGCTGCATATCCAGAGGGATCTCTCCTAAGAGTGCAGGAGCACAGGATGTAGCCCAAGCCTTCCGGGGAGGGTCACCCCAGGCTCCAGGGGTGACGATGTTCTATTTCCTCCCGGTGTAATAAGAGCCCACCACAGTGTGCTTCCCAGTGGGTGTGCTTCCCAGTGGGTAGGAAAACCATGGATGACAAAATCAATATTTCCTTTAGCGATAAGTCTGAGGGGATGTAACAACACAGTTCACACAGTGTCCCTGGGCCCTCAGATGGCAGCCCTCCCTCTCCCTCTCCCTGACAGGGTATAAAGGGCCATCAGACTTGGGGAGGCTCCGGGGCAGCAACCAAGTGAGAGCAGATGACAAGTGCTGACGGGCTTGGACCTTAATGGGGGAGAATTCCACAAGGGCTGGGCATGGGGGACAGAAGGCGGTGGCTGCCCACAAGGGCAGACGGCCCCAATCTGTGGCCAGTGCCACCTCCCAGGAAGCAGCCAGAGGCTGAGGGAGTGGAGCGTGCTTGGTGGATATTTCAGGACCCCTGTGAGGTCGAGGTCCCCCTCTTCTGGGATCTCCAGACTGCTCGAGGGAAGTCATTCTTGGCATCGTGGGAGGGCCTCGGGAAAGGTCACCGTTTGCTGGTGGAGTCCAGGTCCTCCCTTTGAACGATGGGACTGTTGAGGGTATTGAGACAAAAATCAAACCAAGAACTGTGACCACGCAATGAACCGAGATCCATTCAACAGCGATTCTTAAGACCCAAAGGTCAAACCTCAAACTGGCCAGCTTGGCCATGGAGCCAGACGGGGAGTGGGTGCCTAGTGCCAAAAGTGTCTGTAAGAGGGTGTGTGACAGACAGACAGATGGATGCATGGACGGAGGCTCTGGTGCCTCTCCCCTGACCAGGACTCCTCCCTCCCAGAATAGCGGTGCCCACTTCCAGCCTGCCCCCACTCGGCACCTCTGAGTGTGGGTGGGAGAAAACAGCAGTGAGCAGGGCCTGAGCAGGCTGGCTGGGGCCAGTCGGAGGCTTGCCTCTGAAAGAGCCCCATCGGGCTGGGGAGGGAAGAGGACTCTAGGCCGGGAGAGGAGCGCGACTAGGGGAAGAAGGCCCGGGGGGCGGGAGTGGAAAGATCAAGAGGATGGCGGATCTGATGCCCCTTTATGTAATGGAAAGACAGCTGTGGGTTTGTCCTCCTTCCCCCGCCCCCCAGGGAGAGGATGTCCATTGAGGGGCAGGGTCTCTGAGGCACTAAGGCACAACGAGTGTAGCTCTCCCATGGGCAGCCGGCCTGCCCCTCAGCTCACACCTGCTGCTTTCTGTTTTCCAACTGCCGCCAGGCCCAGGAGGCCTGCCTGGACAAGCTGTTGGACCAGCTGAGGCAGCAGAGCCTGGAGCAGACCCTGAAGTTACATCTAGAAAGGGCCAGGGACATTCTGAAGAACATGGAGGCAAAGTAAGCAACGAGTCGGAACTGACTGACAGCAGGGAGTTGGGTTAAGACCTGGCCCCCAAAGGCAGAAGCCAGCAGCTGGCCTGGGATTCATGGTCTGGGCCACAGGCAGCCTGCTCAGGAACCCGGAGGTGTGCCCAGTCCACTGGTGGGCAAACCCGATGCCTCATGCTCTGGAGATGCTTGTGGCCCTTTGAAGCTCCACTTTCAGCCATCGCAGCGGCTTCAGGGACACGGTGCCACTGGGGTAAACCTGGAAACCTGATGGAGAGGTTTTGAGGCAGTGCATTCTGAAGGCCAAGCATATAGGCCGTGTCCCTGTTTTGAAAATGTACGTAGCATGCGTGCTCTTCGTTTTTTTCAAAAAGCTAACTAGTATAGACAGTGGAAATTTCCCCCCTTATTCCTGCCCCAATGCCCCCTTTTTTTAATAGACATATCTCGCACACAAAACTCACTGCCCTCGAGTTGATTCTGACTAATGGGGACCCTATCGAAAGGGTGGAACTGTCCCTGTGGGTTTCTGAGACTGTCTCTCTTTATGGGATTAGAAAGCCTCCTCTTTCTCCCACAGAGCGGCGGCTGGTTTCGAAGTGCTGAACTTTCGGTTACTAGCCCACTATATAACCACTATGCCACCAGGGCCCCCTACACACGTATAGTATAATGATAGCATAGTATATCGTATTGTTTCGTATAGTATAGTATTATTTAAATAAAGCTTGTAAGGGTAGCCCTGAGATGACTTCCTTTCCAAAGACCTTGGAGACTTCCTACCCTCATGGGGGTGCTACTTCATGACCCCTCCTCCTCTAGCTGAGTAGCTTTCCCAAGTGGGTTGCCGTTTGTCCATCCGATAAGACAGTCTGCATGGTCTTCCTTGTGTCTTTGTGCCCTTGTGCAAACCCACTCTGTGTGCTCCGTCGGCAGAAATGGAATTGCCCTGCCAAACAGGTGGCTGTGGTAAGCTTCAGAAACACAGCTTCGGGTCAATAAGGTACCCCTGAGTCTTGATTGCCCGACCTGAAAAAAATAAAACCAAAAACCCCAGGTCTGGCATTCAGAGGGTTTGGTGGGGTGACACAGGACAGGACCAAGACAGTGGCAGGAAGCGGGAGCTGCCGCCACAGGATGTAGCAGTGATGATGCTTCAGCAGGCAGGTATGCGAGGCCCCAGCTGGACTTGTGGCAGGTGCAGCTCAAGCTCCGCCATCGTCTGTCTGTCTGTCGGGGGAAGCTTGCCGGTTGTTAGGTTGCTCAGCAGGTTCAAGGAGCTTACAGGGCAGGACAGACTAGGAAGAAGGCCTGGCAACCTGCTTCTTCGCATCAGCTAGTGAAAGCTCTCCCTAACTGGTTATGGGGCGAGAGCAAGATCAGGCAGCATTTCATTCTGTTGGGGGGTCGGGTGGGGAGAGCTGTCACGAGTCAGGGGCCGGCCACAGCAGTAGCAGCGCCATCACATGACAGGTACATGTGTTGTCCCATGACCCTCTGCATCGTCAGAAGGGATGATGCAGGGATTGTGGTCGTTGAAGAGAAATCCACACCCCAGCTCTCTGCTGCGGCTCTAAAGGCCAGATTTGGTCTTGCCTCCCTGGGGTCTGTGACGTTGCTCCTGGTCCTTAGGTCCCCCGGTCTCCACTCCTCAGACTCTGGCCTCCCCACCTGCCTCACAGGTATGAAAGTTCCCACGCCGTGCTGAGGAAGGAAGTGATGGCGTACCCGGAGATCATGCTGAAAGAACTCCATTCCTACAGCTGCAGCCTCAGCCGCCACTTCTACGTTCGAGAAGTCTTTGGGCAGGTGTGGAGAGGGGCACGGGACCCCTGTCTGGGCAGAAGGGAGGGCCTGGCCGCTGCTTCTCCCCACTCGGGACTTCGGAACTCTCCTGAGCCGCACGAGTTCGAGGCTGCGGTCAGATCGCAGGGCTCGCGGCTGGAATGGGATTGTAAGGACAACCCTAATGAAACGCACTGTCCCCGAGTCTAGTCCCACTCAGCCGTCATGGAGGACAGAGTAGAAGCACCTCCGTGGGTTCTCGAGGCTTTCCGTCTTTACAGGAGTTGACAGCCTCATCTTTCTCCCACGGAGCGGCTGGTGGGTTCAAACTGCTGACCTTGTGGTGAGCTGCTCAGCGTGCAACCCGCTACACCACCAGGGCTTATTTATGATGCCGAGTTCCTGACCCTATCCCCCCTCCCTCTCCCAGCTGCCGCTCCCCCACCCCCACCCCGCCTGCCCCAGGCCAATAAGCCTAAAACAGAGCTCTGACTTATTCATCTTCCTGCTCAAAAGTCCCTCCGCACCTCTCCAGTCTGCACACAGTTCTTCAATGCCCACACGGGCCCCCACACCTGGGGCTCCACACTTCACGCTCCCACGTGTGGCAAGCTCATCCCACTTGCTGCATATGCCCCCTGCCAGCCAGCTCTCTGCTTGTGCCTCTGTAGGTCCCCAGTGCACCCACACTGCCAGCCCACGTCCAGTGGCCACTGATCCTGACCTCTCATCCTGCCCCTGCCCTGCCAGCACGTCTCTCCATCCCAAACGTGCATGTCGGGTGCTGTTGGCGCCACTTTTGTCCAGTGACTCTCTGCATCATCATCAGAACGGCACCACCAACCCAGGGACTGAAGGCATTGAGGAGAAGTCCGCACCCCAGCTCTTGGCAGCGCGAAAGACCAGATTTGGTCTTGCCTCACACCCCAGAGGATCTGACCAGAATGCATTTCCTGAAGAGCCAAACTCATCTTACAGCCATCGAGTTGATTCCGACTCATAGCGACCCCACAGGACAGTGTAGAGCTGTCCCTGTGTGTTTCTGAGGCTGTAACTCTTTACGCAAGTAGAAAGCCTCATCTTTCTCCCCTGGAGCCGCGGGTGGTTTCGAGCTGCTAGCCTTTTGATTAGCAGCCCAGTGTGTAACCATATGCCACCAGGGCTCCTTCCTGAAGGGCAGGTATGCCTTGTGCATTTCATTTCACATCAGCTGCCTGTGGCACAGCCTTGCCTTGCGCCCCATTCAGACTCAGTGCCAGCCGCTGCCCCCAGGGGAGTCCATGAACATCTGTGTTGGTGGACTTGCCCCGCATTCGGTTCTGGCACCAAAGACCAGCCCAGGTCCCGCGTGACCTGAGAGCAGACTTGCTTGGGGTTGGCACAGACCTGGGGATACCCAGCTCCTCCCCAGAGGACCTCTCTCCTCTCCTGTCCCCATCACTAATAAATGCCCCCCCCCACCCCCGATACTAGTAGGAAAGTTGGCAGTTTGAACTCACCCAGACGCACCTTGGGAGAAATGCCCAAGAGATTAGCGCTCTGCTTTCAAGAGATCATTGCCGGCCCTGGAAACCCGGTGGCACAAGCAGCCCTGCTCTGCGGTGTGGACGGGCGCCAGAAGTGGGTGTCAGCTCCACAGCAGCTGGGTGTTTGGGGAGGTTCTGGGTTAAATATTGAACACTTTTGTGGTCCCGCCTCACAAGGTGGAGGCTGATGGAGGTCACTCTTGAGAGGCAGGTGGACAGACTGATGCCGCCTCCATCCCATTTCACACAGAGAGCATCCCCCCAGGCTGGCAGGACTTGCCCAGGGTCCCTCCACTAGGCCTTTGGACCCGGCCCTGCACACTGCCACCACCCTGCGATCCGTCTACCCAACACACACCCCCACCCCCACCCGCCACCGAGCCCGTGCATCGCAGGAGCACAGGGGTCTTCGCAGCTGGGCTGTCAGGGCCCATTCCTGTCGAGTCTGTTCATCTCCAGCTTTGGGGGGACCAGATGCCTGCACTTTTGTTCATCCCTTGGGGAACGGGGGGGGGGGTTGACCTTTGTCCCCGATCACTGCCAAAAAGTGTGCCCAGAAAAGGATGATTACTTTCATGCCCAGGTGCTGATGGGAGGCCGCTGGGCTGCCTGGAAGTAGGGAAAACTCTTCCCTCGCTTGGGACCGTGCTGGCTTCCACGCAGCCAGTGCCGGGGGGAGGGTGGCCTTCAGGAGTGACCCTCCGAGAATGGCAGCCCTGGTCACCCAAGGCCTGTGCTCTTTCCCTCATAGAGCCTGGATGGGAACATCTTCTTCAGACACCGGGAGCCAGGTAACCCTCTCCCAATCCATGGGCGGTTCTTGGGGAGCATGCGCACGCATATGTCTGAGTCAGGGAGGCCTCAGGGTCCAGATCCCCTGGGTGACCAACCTGTCTCTGCCCACCCACCCTGCGGTGCTGCGCCTCTCAGAGGTGCATGAACAGCTCTTCCAAGGGAGCCAGCGGAGGCTGCAGGGAGGACTGCAGGCGGCCTTTGGCGAGAGTGCCAGCAGAGAGACCAGTCCCTCCCAGAGCAGGGACGAGGCGGAAGGCATGCAGGACAGCGGGGAAAGCCCGGAAAGCCAGCCCTTTACAAACGAAGAGTGGCTTCGCCCGCCAGGAGCACCCAAGAGGGATGAGTCCCCGGAGGATGAGGACCCTGGCCAAGGGCCGGAGGAGGCACCGGTTCAGAAAGAGAGCGCCTCAGAGCTCTCCCTGTCTGCTCAGGAAGACCAGGGGCAGGAGGAGGAGGGGCAGGAGGAGGAGAAAGAGGAGGAAGAGGAGAGAACCTCTGTGGAGGAGGTAGGCCGGGCAGGTGCACTCATGGGCCTGAGAAACTGTATGCGTAGGAGCCCCGGTGGTGGTGTGGCTACGCGTTGGGCTGAGATTCGCAGGGTTGGCAGTTGGGAGAAGGCTGGGCTGGGCTTTCTACTCCCGTCAACCGTGGTTGCCTCGGAAGTCTGTGGGGCGCTGCGATCAGCATCATCAGCTCCATGATGGCAGTGAGTCTGGGTCTGGGTTCTGCCCTTTCCGTGCACCCCTGATATGAGCGGGGTCCTCCAGGGCCCAGCCTCCACGGGGAGGGTGCAGAAGGTACTCACACTTTCCCTTTCGCCCATGGCAATCCAGTTCCTCACTCACAATAGCGCTTTCTGGAAACTGCCCTTCCTGTCCTCACGCCACCTCCTACATCCCACTGTGGAGTCACCTCGCAGGCAGCTAACGACTGACCTTTCCCCGTCTCACCCCCCTCACTTTATCCCGCCCCTCCGTGGCACGAGGGTTGCCAGGGGGTGCATCTCTGAAGTCAAGCCTGGCCGCTGTCTTCTGTAAGGTCACAGCCATTGCCCCACAGCCTGTGGGGCAGCTCCACTCTACGCATGGGTTGCCGTGAGGCAGAATCAACTGGAAACCGGTTGTTGCTTTTCAATTGTGTAACTCAATGTAATTTTCCCCAGATGAGAGCAGCCTGCCCCACCCCACCTTCTCACCCGCCTGAGCCTTGCCCTGACTGGGTAGCACAAGAGAGCCCCCCATGCCCTCCTGTCCTGCACGCTGCCACACAGGACTCCTCAGAGACCCAGGAAGGGCTCGTGTTGGGAAATCTTTGAAGTAGTCAGACTCACGGAATAGGAACTTGAAGCGCGTTAATCTAACCACACATTTCAACTGACACCTTCTCCTCTATGGCACCAGGGGAATGCTCTCTGATCAGGGGCCCCAGACTCAAATGTCCACAGGTGTGTACTAGAACGGGAGGGGGATTGGCAACTCGCAGGAGCATCCTGAGTGGGGGGGGCATGGTCTTCTCAGCCCTGTGGGATGGGGGGCTCACCAGTTCTTCTGATTTCTGAAAAGAAATCAGAATCCAGAGGTTTTTTACTTTTATTTTTTGTTTCTGGTTTTTTTTTTTTTAATTGGATAATTTCCTAATTCTCAAAAGCATTATTTGGGGAGGGTTGGGGAGGGGTCACCAGAGCTTCCAGACCAGATGGACTAGGGAGAAAGGCCTGGTGATCTACTTCGGAAGGGCAGCCCTCTGGATCTGTAGCGGGGTCTGCTCCCCGTTGTGCCTGGGATCGCCAGGACCCCGGCGGCACAACAAGAAAACAGGGCGGGGGCTGTCGGCCAGATTAGGCCCACAGGTCACTGGCCAAGGCAGGCGTGGTCGGGATTGTAACCTACGTCCGACACCTTGTCACCTGCTTAGGCCAAGTGCAAGGAAGAGATGCTGGGGGAAACCCCCACGGAGGACATGGAGAGCTTCACAACTTCCAGCGGGAACACGTACTTTGTCTTCTTCCCCCTGGAAGAAGAGGAGTGTTTCTGGAGGCCTCATTCCTACCCCTCGGCCATGTTCAGCGAGGACCTTGGTGACACCAGGTTCCTGGAGCACGTCGTCCTTCCATCCAGTCTGCTTGCAGAAATGAAGAAGCAGTGAGTAGAGGAGCCCTTTCCTGCCCGTCTCTTCTGCAGGGTCTTGTTAGCTGAAGTCGGGTACTGTAACTGTGTAGAGCAACAAATCCCGTGACACCGATATGTGTGTGTCTGTATCAAGGAAGCAGCCCAGCCAGTCCAGCTCTGGTCCCTAAGCCCAACATGAGTCCGTAGGTCCCTCTGAAGACTCACGCAGTCCCATGCAATGATGCGGTGTGCAGGAAGGTCGCAGGCTGGTAATGGCAAAGTCATGCGGATCCAACTTCGTTGTAAACGTGGCAGGGTTCTGGCAGCTCCCAGGGGCAGCAAGCGGGAAGGTGAAGGCAGAGAGAGAGAGAGGGAGGTTCCCAGGACCTTCCTTATGAGGAGGCCACACCCACAAGGAGGCATCTTCAGGCTGTGACCTGAGTGACAGGTTGAATACCACCCCTACACTTTCACCCATCTTCAAGTTGGCATGAAGTCACACAACCACCGCAGGAACCAAGCGTTGGAACCGGGGTGGGGTGGGGGGTGGGGTGTTTAAGAGACACAGTAACCACCGGCACATCATCGCCAGGGTCCTGTGTGAGCAGCCCTGGTGGCGCAGTGGACCACGAATTGGGCTGTTACCCACCAGGTCGTCCGTTAGAAATCGCCAGCTGTTCCCCAGGGGGGAAGATGAGGCTTTCCACTCCTGTAAAGAATTACTCTCTCAGAGGGGCTGTGTGTCAGACTCGACTCAAAGGCAATGAGAGTTATGAGTGTCTCGTCTAAGAGTGACTGTCCGTGGCCTCCTTGTCCCGTGGTTCATCGGGCTTCCACCCTACTGGGCCACGTCTGGCCGCGTCTCTCAATAGGACAGGTATCCCCCCACGCCCCATTCAGCTAGGACACCTCCACACTGACTGGAAGCACGCAGAGCTTATTCCTTGCAGCCGTCTCTGTATGCTCAAAACACAGGAAGCAGCCCATGCACATAATGAACTGGGGAGAGGAGAGCAAGGAGAGGTGCGCTCTGTGCCGAGGTGGAGAAGGCTCCTGCTGGTCCCGACTGAGGTCGGGGCTGACCCTCGCTGCTGGCCGGTCTCTCCCGCAGGCTCCGGACTGGCTTTTTCGAGCACCTCGAGAAATGGTTTGACCAGTGTGCCATCAACATCCAGGTCATCCTGACCACCAAGCTGGAGGAGCTGGAGCTGGAGCTGAAGCTGCGTCTGCACCTGCTCCAGCCCCGAGCCCGGTACATCGAAGGCGACATCCACAACTTCCGGGCAGGTGAGCGCCTGCCTGAGCCACCTGTGCCCGCTGTCTCCCGCTCGTGCCCTGCGCCTGTCTGGCCCCGAGTGGCCTTGACCACATCCCCACCACTCTGTGAAAGACGTGTGAGGTGTCATCACCCCCAGACTCCCGAATAAAGGTGGTGGTCAGAATCCTCAGTGAAGAGCATGCACAAAGGACTAAGGGTGTAGGCTGCAAGGGCCGGTAGTTCAAACCCATCAGCTGCTCCTGGAGAGAACGATGAGGCTGTCTGTTCCCATAAAGATTTCCAAAGCCCCGGGAACCCTAGATAGCAGTGGTTCTCCACCTTCCTAATGCCGCAACCCTTTCATACAGTTCCTCATGTTGTGGTGACCGCCCCCCAAGCATAAAATTATTTTCGTTGCCACTTCGTCACTGTCATTTGGCTACTGTTATGTATCGGGCGACCCCGGTGAAAGGGTCTTTCAACCCCCAAAGGAGTCACGACCCACAGGTTGAGAACCGCTGCTATATCGGGTCCCTATGAATCAGAATTGGCTCAAGAGAGTGGGTTTTTTTTTGTGGGGAGGGGAGGTTACAATATGTGGAAGGTCTCTGGATGGCTTGACCACTAACATAAAGATTGTTGATTCAAAACCACCTACTGGGACCACAGAAGAAAGGCCTGCAAAGGTTACAGCCAGGAAAGCTCCTGTGGGCCACGGGTCCACTCTGCAACACGCGTGTCCCACGTAGGTTTCCCCAGAACGGGGTCGACTTGACTCAGTGGGCTTCGGTTGTCTCCTTGCTTCGTCGAGCTTCTCATGCGGAGGGGCGGGTGGAGGGTCACTCTGGAACCAGAGCCGCCCCATCCAGTTCGTGGATGGCACACCTGCGTGGGGGGCGCGTGGCGTGGCCTCTCCAGCTGTGTGACCCCCGGCAAGACGCCTGGGCGCTCTGAAACAGCCCCCTGAGAAGCATCTTCACGGCGTTGGCTGCTCGTTTTGTTACGGGAGCAGGATGGCTGCTCGCAAGGTTTTCCTGACTGTCATTGGGAAATCGGGGTTGCCAGGCCGATTTCTTCCTCGGTGCTGCCCGGGGGGCTTGAACAACCAACCCCTTGGTCACCAGCGGAGTCAAACCGTTTGTGCCACCCGGGGGCTCGTTGTTGTTGTTGTTGTTAGCAGACCGTGGTTCACCCCTCACCCACGCCCACCCCCTCTCCTTGGGCTCTCTGTCTTCTGCTCTCCTCTGCTGCAGACGGGTGGGGCGGTCCTTGCCAGAGCAGAGCACAGCAGAGGCCCCTCCCCAGTTAAAGACCCAGTCGCCCCTGGGCCAAGCCTCCGGCAAGAGTGGGGCTAGGGGTAGGGTGGGCACAGAAGGGAACTTGGCCAGGGCGGTCCCTGCTCTGCAGCTGCAGGAAAGGTTGGGGCTGGTCCCTGCCGGGGCCGTGCGGGTGCTTGTGGTGCCGCAGGGCCAGCAGTGAGCGGCCCGCTGCGCGGTCCTCTTTCAGCCGAGCTCCTGCTGCACCAGGGGCGGGTGGACAGACACTGTGCCGGCGTGGTGGAGACGCTGAAGAAGGAGAGGCTGATGTTCCGCCAGTTCCAAGAAGAGCAAGACCTGAGGAGCAAGAACTTCCGCCGCAAGATCTTCGACATGGAGCACACCTTCCTGAACGCCTCCCGGAGCCACAAGTAAGGGCCCCGGGGCTGCCACCTGCCCGCCCGCCCGCCTGCTGCTGGGGAACCACCACCAACCCGACCCACGGACTGCAGAACAGAAGTAGAGCCCTTGGGAGTCTCAGGCTGATTTGGGGCCCGTAGATCACCAGGCCTTTCTTCCGAGGCACCTCTTGGTGGACTTGAACTCCAGCCTTCAGGTTAGCAGCTGAGCATGGTCACCACCTGCCCAGCCAGGGGCTCCCTCTAGTGGATTCAGGAGCAGGTTCCCGGGCCCCTTGGCATCTTCTCTTCTGAGCTCACCTCTACAAAAGACTCTGGCGTGAGCCCGCTGGGCCTCCCCAGGGTTCTGTCCACCCCGATCTTCCACATCCAGTGATGGCTGTCCTTAGCGCACACGTTGCCGGGTTTCTGGGGAGATTTGATACAGCCTCTGCCTCTCATAGGAAAGGGGACAGCCTGGGAAGAGGTGAACTCAGTGGGGACTGGGTAGAGCGTTGAAGAGAGATGAGGAGGGGCCAGAATTCCCCCATCAGAGAAGCAGCACTGGCCAGGCTCCGGAGAGGGTGTGCCCAGGGTGCTCAGGAGAGGGTGAGGGTCTCGGGGTAAACAGGTAGACAGGTAACCAGTCAGGAGCCCTCACGGGGGTCTCCGTCTCCATCTCGGTCAGAAGCACATGGGGCACCAGGTCAAGACAGTCTTGGTTGCAAAGTGGGAGCTTACTGAACACCTGGTACTCAGGCCCCTGAGCACGGGGCTTGAAAAGAGTGTGTTGGAAATTTGGGGTGACAGGAGCCGGGGTGGGGGGCGCCACCCTCCACTAGCACACTGTGAATTACAGTGCCCAGCACAGACTGGCACTTTGAACTTCCGCCCAAGGGCCCCTTTCCTACCCAGAGGAGCAGGCTCTGGTTCTGGTGGCCCACAGCTGGGCAGGCCACGTGAAGCTGAAGCAGCCGGGGGCTCACCGCCCTGCCCGCCCATGCCCCGCAGGCTGGTGCTCCTGAGCAACGCGCTGCACAGGGAGCTGCTGAGCTACGTGGACGTCATCCAGGTGTCCCTGCGCAGCTTCAGGCAGTACTTGGAGGAGAGTCTGGGCAAGCTGCGCTTCACCAACATCGAGTTCGTCAGAAACTGCAGGTGGGCGGGGCCGGGGACCCCCACGTGGCTCCATGGGGGCGTGGTCTTGGCGCTCCGGCACAGCCTTGTAACTCATTCCTAAATCAAATCATCCTGGATTTCGTCTTTGACATTGGTGACAGGCTAGATTAATTTTTTAAAAAACGGTTGTTTTCTAAGTCATACATCTTTTGTTCAACAATGTTGGTGCAATCAAACACCAACCCCCAAACACACCAAGCTCATTGCCATCAGCCGATGCCGACTCAGAGCGACCCTATAGGACTGGGTCACGCTGTGCCCTGCGGATTTCTAAGCCTGTAACTCCTTACGGGACCAGAGAGTCTCATCTTCCTTCCATAGAGAGGCTGGTGGGTTTGAACTGCTGACCTTGCAGTGAGCAGCCCAAAGTCTAACCACAAACACAGAATGTTACCCCAAAAGTGGAAACCTCTCCCCAAAGGCCCGTTGCCCTTAACTTCCTCTCTCCCGGTGCTGTCCTCAAGGCTGACGTGGCCCGGCCAGCCACGCTCATTCCATGGGCCGTGCCGCCCCGGGGGCTCTGTGCAGGTCTTCCTGTGTGGATCCCGCAGGAAAGGGTTCCGTTTGCAGGTAGCCAGCACTGCGCTTGCCTCCCTAGGGCAGCAGTTCTCAACCTGTGGGTTGCGACCCCTTTTTTTTTTTGGCGGTTGAACGACCCTTTCATGGTCACCCGATTACTAACAGTAGCAAAACTACAGTGATGAAGTAGCAACGAAAACAATGTTATGGTTGGGGGTCACCGCAACATGAGGACCTGTATGAAAGGGTCGAGGCATTAGGAAGATTGAGAACCACTGCCCTCGGGTCTGACCCTGTGTCTGGTCCGACAAACTGGCCAACATGGGGAAGCCGGCACTGCCCCCACAGTGCCACTCCTGTGCTCCTCTATCCCTGGCCTGGTCCTTTGCGCCTGAAGCCTCGGCGAGCCCCGCATTTGGGACAGCAGGGAACTCCGGGGCCTAGCAGGCGGCCTTTATTTCTCCTCAATCCCTTTCAGGTTATTTTCAGAGGGCGGTAACTTTTCTGCTGAAGAAATCGACTCCCTGTGTAGCCGACTAGAGAAGGAGGCTTCGCGCATCGAGTTTGTCGAAAGCCTCATCATGGTGAACATGGAGAAGATGGAGAGCGAGTACCTGGACCAGGTGGGTGAGCCCTGCCCACGCCCCTAGCCAGGTTGCCAGGCCCTGAGCTACAAGGTGGTCCCCTCACCTGTTCCCATGCTGGATGGGGGAGCATGCCCACCGTTCAATCATTAATTAGCCTTCCAACCTCTACTTCCAAAGTTTAAAAAAAAGAAATCGAATCTAAATGAAGCCATACCCCCTTTCCGTTTGTTTTCCCCCTCCTCTCCAGGCCAATGAAATCATCAATAAGTTTGAAAGTAAATTCCATAATCTCTCTGTGGACCTCATTTTCATAGAGAAAATCCAGCGGTTGCTGACAAGGCTGCAAGTGAACATCAAGTGTGAGGTAAGAGGGATTCGTGGTCAGCTGTGAAGTTTTATCTGGTCCCATCTGTTTACGAAGCACGCACCGTCCCAGCTGCTGGGAGCACGGATACCACCGTCTTGGCCCCCAAGGCACGTGCACACCAGCTGGGGAGGCAGAAGGTAAGCCCCAGTGACAGTCACCTTCCTTCAGGCCCTGCGCACCACGTTCCTGGCCGAGCCACGCATTTTGATATGCTGCTCTGGTCCTTGCAGAGCAGTAGGGGGGCAAGGGGTATTTTGACCCCCATTTTGGAGATATGGAAACTGAGACAAATAGGAGGGGTACCCCCCACCCCCCACCTCCCCAAAAACAACCAACAGAAGAAAGTTCGTAGTATGCATTTCCCCCCCTAGGCAAGCATTAGGCAACTCGCTCAGAGTGATTGCACCCAGGGGCGTCACCCAGGAAGGTTCTTGCTGGTCACAGCGAATTTTTTCATAAAATCAGTGTCACTCGAACTTCGTTTTTTGGGATGGCCGGTTTAAGAGAACAGCATGTGGCTGTGGAATTTTGTTGGCTGCTCAGGAAAAATGCGGCTGTAACTGTTGTGCTGTTGAACACAGCTCACAAGGACAGCACGGTGGAAAACTCAAGTGCACGGGTGGTTTTCTCCTTTCAAAAAAGGGGAAATGTTGGTTGATGACAAACCTCATCCTGATCGCCAAATGGACGAAAATGTCGACTCTGTAGTGCATATGGAGTTTGTTCCACCGGGTCAGCCTGTTAATCAAGCGTCCCATTTAGAGGTTCTGAAAAGATTGCGTAACAGCGTGCGACAAAAAAAGGCCTGATTTGTGGCAGACGGGGACTGGTTTTGCCACCACGGCGCTACACCTGCTCATGTAGCCAGTTCAGTGTGCCGGTTTTTGGCAAACAACAACAACAACAACAACATGCCTCTCTTGCCCCACAAACCTAACTCACCTGACCCCGCTCTGTGCAGCTTCTTTTTGTCTCCTGAATGAGGAGGGACACGAAAGGACAGTGCTTTGAGGACACAGAAGAGGTGAAGGGAAAAAAGGAGGGAGGTGCTGTCAGCCATCCAAACAGATGAGTTTGAAAAATGTTTCCAAGAATAGAATCGCAGATTTGACAAATGTATTAAGTGGACTATAGAGTACTTTGAAGGTGATAAGGTTGTTTTGTAAAAAAAGAAAAAAAATAGGAATACATAGCTTCGGGGTGGGGGGATTCCGGTTTTGGGGGCTACCCCCTTGTAATCCTTGTGTCACTTGAGCAGAAGCACAGAGTTCTTACACAGAGGAGCTGGCACGTGAACCCAGATCTAACAGGTCAAAGTTCATGACCTGTCCATGACATTCCACCTGTGCCACCAAGGGAGACGTGTGGGTTGTGGGGCAAGAGGCCAGGTTGTACCTGGACCCGGGGAAAAAGCAAACAAAGAACTCCCTGCCAAGTCGATGCTGATTCATACCAACCCTACAGGGCAAGGTAGAAGTGCCCCTGAGGGTTTCCTAGACTGTAACTGTGTATGGGAGTAGAAAGCCCCCCGTCTTTCTTCCTCGGGGTGGCCGGTGGTTTCAAACTGCTGACCAGCACCTCCCTCATTACAGCCCAACTCATAACCACTATACCACCTGGGCCCAGAAAGTGGTGCTAAAAACACGCTGGAGGGAGAAGTGGGACGCAGCCTGGCCGGGTGTGAGGAGCAGGGTGTCCAGAGAGAAGGTAGGGAGGCCAGAGAGGGGCCGGGCCTCCCAGGCAGAGCCTTGTGCACGCATGCTCTTGGTGCTGGCGATGACATCGGGGCAGTGGGGTCATGTGCCCCGGGCTGTACCTGTTGGGGGCAGTCAGGTTGCCAGGTGTAGAATGGATGGGAGGTGGAGGTGGAGGTGTGAGGGGGCCGGGGTGGGGAGAATAAAAGTCAGGACAAGGGTGTTGGCAGGGAGAGCACCCCTTCCAGAGCTGAGTGGTGGTGGGATGGGCAAGCCTTGGGGTGGTTGGAGAGGGGAGGAGAAAGAAGCCGAGGCGATTCCCAGGCCTGCTGGATCATCCTGGAGCAGTGCTTGAGGACCCCCTGGGTGCCGGAACAAGCAGAGATGAGCTAGACAGCCCTGCCCGTGGCTCACTAGAACTCAAAGGGAAGAGGTTTGCTGCAATCTGGGGTGTGGAGTCAGCCGGTGGGGATTCTGGGTCAGAGATGTGCAGTGGCCTCAGACAAGCCTCTGTGTGCCCCAGGGGCCTTTGCGTCCTCCTCCGTGACCTGAAAGCAAACCCAACTGGTCCATCTATGGCAGGGAGGAAGGAGGGACTGTGCGTTCAGCTCTTGGCACAGCCTCATGCACTGCCATCAGAGCAACCTTCCAGGACAGGGGAGACCTGGCCCTGGGGGTTTCTGAGACAGTAACTCTTTAAGGGAAGTAGAAAGCCTATCTTTCTGCCCCCAGAGCAGCTGCTGGTTTTGAACTGTTGACCTTGCAGTAAGCAGTCCTGGTGCACATTAATTGCTCAATAAAGGAAGTTTGTATGGAGGCGTGAGCTGAGTGCCTCATGTGGGAGCCCTTAAATCACCCCAAGGCCCTCGGGCAGGGGAGTCCCGGTACATGTCAAAGGGGCATATTCCTAATTGTCCTCCAGCAGATGCGGCCAAAACCTTCCTTCCTGGGTTGATATTTGGGGGATGTACGGTACTCAGTGGTTTCTTTTATTTTTAACATGCAAAACTGTGAGAAGCAAAATAAATTTTCTTCCCTTTTGTTTAATTGTAATGCTAACACTTCATTATTGGTATCACTTGGGTGTTTCAAATGACATGGATTTTTTCATTCAATTTTGGGAACATGATGTGTTCAGTTAATTTACAGGAAAATTTCTACTGTGTCATATTTTATAGATCACCTTGCTCTCACAATGTACATGTTATCAAATGTATTTATTATCAAGCAAGTTACATGAAATAAGAATGTTTATATATTTCTATACAAAATGTCTACGAAGTTGGCCACACAATTTAAGACAAAGATGATAAATTATAAATGTCTATGGAAAGACCGCAAAATACATGTTCACTGTGGAAAATATTGGACTAATACAAACAGTAGAGAATAATTCTAACAGATTTGGAAGAAAAAGCACAGGAAATTAACTTGTTATTCATATGGTTGTCCAAGTCATATGATCTGTTTCCCCCCCAAAAAAACCATGTTATCGGGGCTTCTACAGATGTCACACCTTTCCACAGTTCAGCCTCATCAGGCAGTGTTGTACGATTGCGACCACAATCCGTTTCAAAGCATTCTCTTCCTTCTTGACCTCCTTGATAGCAGCCCCCCTTTATCTGCCCCCCTCCCGGAGCCCTCCCCCCCAGGAACCCTCATTCTACTTGTTGCCTCTTAGGTTCATCAATCCTGGGTTTCATACAGCTGTGCAATATTTTTGAATATCTTTTAAAACACCATGTTTATTGTAATAAGTGTGGATATATGTGACTACCTATTTATGACAAACCATTTGCTTTTTTATATGTGTGAAAAAAACCATTACTGATGTTCTATTCTTAAAATATAAGAAATAATCTCCCCCTTCTTTTAACCTAAGGTCAGCTATCTCAGACATTGATAGCACTCCTCTGCCTGCAGGCCACCCGCTAAGGGTCTGTCTCGGCCCAGACTCCTGCTCATCTCCATTACGTGACGTGGCTCTAGATTTTGGCCTTGGCTCCCACCAGGATGGGTTAGCAGATGGGCCGTCTAGTATTGAGCTGGACCCCACCAGGGCTGGATATTAATGGACTGAGCTCTTTCAGCTGAGATCCCCCTTTTAAGACCTCATTAGTCCAGCTCTGTGTCTCAGTGGTGACTTGTTACAGTGGATCCCAGGCTGGTTCCAGCCCTTGCTTCTTGGGAGAAATAATTCGCCCACGGGACCCAGCATCCAACAAAGAATCCAAGCCCCAAGCTCACTGCCATGAGTCAATTCCGACTCGTAGCAACCGGTAGGGCAGAGGAGAACTGCCCCTGTGGGTTTCTGAGACTGTAACTCTTTACAGGAGTAGAACGCTTCATCTTTCTCCTTTCTCACTAATGGTTCAAACTGCCAGCCTTGTGGTTAGCAGCCCAACGCATGAGCCACTAGGCCACCAGGGCTCATAGGTTTTTTGAAATTAAGAGTACAGAGGTTCCGTGAAGCAGGGTATAGTGTTCGTACACTTGAGTTAGTACATTGACAGAGGGCCAAGCCCGCTGAGCACCCTGCCTGCCTGGTGGGTTTCTTGTAGTCCTTAACCCCCTACCCTTGCGCCCTGGCCCCTTCCCCAGAGTGACTGTGAGTGGGATTGTTTTGCTGGTATATTTCTAAATGTTATTGGTCTTGCTTCTTTGAGCTTGCTTTCCTCAACAATTCCTCATTCCCCAGATGGGGTTACCTTTTCCCACACCCCCTGGCTCTAAGCTGTACCTACCTAGCAGACTCCTCCTTTAGCCTCTGTTATTGTGCCTCGGAGACAGAAGCTGATGTGGACAGTCAAAGCGGCGTGTTTTAACCGATTCCTGCTAGAGCAAGCAGTGCACCGCACCGGGCACATCCGCTGCAGGAGACCTCTTTGAAGCGTTGGAAAGCAACCGTGTTTCTTTGAGGACGAATGTGCCCTTGACCCAAGCCATGGTACTTTCAGTCACCTCACGTGCGTGTGAAAGTTGAACCTGAATCACAGTGCTGGCAGAGACTATCGGAAGTACCACCGGTTGCCAAAAGAACAGACACATCTGTTTTGGTAGAAGTACAGCCGATAACGCTGCTTGGGGGCGTCCTTTGGACGTGCTGTCAGAAGAGACCTGTCGCTGGAGCAGGACATCGTGCTCGGTAAAGTAGAGGGGCAGCGGACACGAGGAACACCTTTAGCAAGACGGATGGACACGGCGCCTGCAATGGTGGGCTGGAACATAGCAAGAATTGCGCGGATGGCGCAGGGCCAGGGATGCTTTGTTGTGTTGGACATAGCATCGCTGTGCTTCGTTCGGAGCCCGCTCAGAGGCACCTAAGAACCACAACAATGGATATGTGGAAAGAGCTCTTACAAGAAAAGTCATCCTTTAGAACCAAATGGCTGCTGACATCGGCACTGCTGCTGGGGCGGCACCCGTGCCATTGTTAAAACAGAGGTTGTGTTTGTGTTCCTGACAGTAGAGCTAATGCTACTCCTGTGTGTCCACTCACAGTGGAATCCCAGTACTGTAATCCTGTTCCCCCGACTGACGTTTTAAGTATCGGTCTAGTTCTTGGAGTGGAAAATGGAAGTTTACTGTAGCTGGTTGCTACTCCTCTTTTTTTACAGTTTTATCGGCACATCATCCACCTATCATATAATTCAATCGTTCCATCTTCATATCTTGAAAACATTGCTTGTGGCCGATCAGATGGCCTCCTGTTTCTGTAGAGTCCTGTGTGCCCCAGCCTGCTTGTCCTGCAGATAAACTGATGACCTCACTCACGCTTTCAAGCAACAACAACAACAATAATAATAACAACATAAGGGGGAACTTCAAAATGTTCACGGGAAAATAGAATGAAAAGATAATGGAATTTTTACACAAACTTTTTGAAGTCCCCTAATACGTGACTCTTGAGCCGGTCTTTAAACAAGTAGCAGCTGAGGGTGGCTCAGACGAAGTCTGACCCTTCTGGGATCACCTGGAAGTGAAACGTGCAATGGCGTGACCCTGCACTCCGGAAACACGGGGTGACCAGCAAGGAGTAAAAGTCCTTCCAAGATGACGCCACTTCTAGACCCTCAGTACCTCCTGTGGAGGCTTGATTAGAAG